GGTTGCCCTTGGAGTTATCTGATCAAAAAAAGTATACAACATCATAGTGAATTGATTGTTTACCAAAGGTATCTTGAGCCAACGAGACTAGCACGAGAGCTCCAATTTTCAAGGTTAACTCTTTTCTGCATTCACTTTTGGATCAGACCAATAAATATAGATTAATTTGAAATGAAATGCCAATGACCCGTTGTTTAAGCGAATAAGGGAAGTCTGATCGCTGAGTCTGCGACAACGCCTTTAGCATAGATAGGAAATGCCAATGAACGAACGGAAAAATGTAATTATATACATGCATACATATGAATAGTGAGAAAACCGACTACTATGTTTGAATCACCCAAAATGAAATGTGTCGTTGCGACTTTTCTTTGTCTTTTGGAGTTAATCTGAGAAGCACGATACTCTGATCACCTTTTGTGTTCACGAGCTCGTTGTCTGTCAGCCAACTTTAATTCCAGGGGCCGCTTTGCTCCAGGCAACGTGATCTTCGCCTTCCTTATGCCATCAATGGCCCTTTGCGCCTCCTCAGAGGTGAGGTAGCGGACGAATCCCGTTCCTGCAGATGGAGGTTCGTAAAATTTAAGCTCTCTCTCCCCACAAATCGGATTGCGGGATGCAAAGTGAAATGACCCTATCATTTCATTTTGGTACAAACGCTATATAACGTACCATTTTTCCTAAACTTATGGAACCAACCTAAAGTTTTAATGAATTTTTGACAGAGGATGGGAGAAACAACTCAGCCAATTTAATCAAGCGCCCTCATTTGGCGTTTGGGCCAAGGTAATCCAACCCAAAACCATGTAATAGGGTCAGAAAAACGATGAATGTGTCTATTTTCCTATTGTTCATAGTGAGCTAGTAATTAGTGTCCAAATGCTCCCAAAATTTGTGAACCTTCCATTTCCAAAACCCTTTGCATTTGAAGCATTGGTATGACCTTACAAAAGCTATATTTGGATAGGAATAATTTCTACTGCTCCCTAAAAGTACCAGCTCGCATAGTAATAAGCAGCTAAGACCGAATGTGGACTGTACGTGGCGGGTATGGCCAGGAGAGGCAACTCAAGGTGGGTGTAGGTGTAACGCCGAACGGGGTTTCAACCCCACTGAGGAACTCGAGAGAGCACATTGTCCCCCTTTGCATCGAGACCAGCGTATCGCGCCTTAGCATTATCCACGACCGTCCGCGATAGCATCGCCTGATGCACCTCATGAAATTTGCTTTGTAACGTGCACCGTTTAAGCTAAATGACTGTTAAAAATTACACTACCCATATTAGGCAATTGGCTTACACTCACAAGTGCGCTAAAACAAAGTGGTGTACACCTTTCTACGAAGTGCATTTTGTTCTCTTAAGGTAAATCCATCCAAAATGAACTATACAGGCTCACCTGTGCAGGTGTTTGTTGATCTGCGTGTCATGACAAGTGCAGAGGTTATTTTTCCATAGGGAGCGAAAATCTGCTTCAAATTCTCTACATTCTCTGAATTCCATGATTCAGGAATATTCGTGACGTAGACATTCAAAGGATCCTTTTCCGATTCCTAACATGCAAGAAAAAAAGGGCACACCGCCATTCGTTACAAGGTTTTTCCTTCATCATTATGAGGTTACTGAATTCCCTAATTATGGCACAGAAACTGTGCAACTACCAAAACTAATCAGACATTTTTGCATTCGACTAGTCTTTTAAATCCAGTTCATCTGTGAGCTGGTGTAAGCCTTTTTACAAGCAAAAAGCGGTGTACTTACGTAGGCAAAGTTTACATATTGACTGGAGTTTTGCAGTTTGATGTGCTGCATTGCGGTTAGAGCGGCCTCATTGGAGACAAAGTCGATAAAGCCGTAGCCTAAAAGAGAGGTGTCAAGGGGTACACGCCTACACTCTGGAGGTCTGTTACATGCCACAATGCAGGGTATGCAGCAGAAGCATAAGTTGTATTTTGAGAATATTGCGGAATACTGTAATCCTCAAAGTCTCCAATTGTACACATTTACCACTTAAAAACCCATTACTAAAATGCAAGCACCAGTACCAACCTGACTGTGAGAAAATCAAAGGTAAAGAGCTCTGGTAAACCCCAGATGTAAGCGATGGTTTTACTCACATTACTGATGTCTGCCAATAGGTTAGATCTCGCTCGATTCTCTTTGCGGTCACATGCCACAAAATTAACACTCGAACCATCCTTGATGTACAAAAAATTTAGATTTACTTGTATCTCAAAGAGATGGTGGGAAAAAAACAATCATTCACTGTTTTGTGCAACACATATAGACTAATAAAGGACACACAACGTTGAACTCGTGAACTCAGGTCGATATGAGGTGTACTTTGCATATTTGAACTTCCCAAATAGCGCCCACAAAAAGGCGACTAAAATCTGCGTGGGAGAGGAACGCGTTATAAGAAGGACCGGGCTAGTGAGCAGTAGCGCCTCATAAACACTTGTTATTTAGTCATTTCGCTCCAAATATCCATCAAGTTGCTACACCAGACGTTCAAGCACTATCACAAAGACTCGAAACA